CGAACGAATTTTCGTGCCAACCTAATATATTAGGTTGGTGCAAAAGTTTTGTCAGTTTTTTTTTCAATCCATCAGCAAACACGCTAGAATGCAGATAAACAAACACTTCAAAGTGCATCCGATGCAGAATTTCTTCCTCTTTCCAGATTCTAAACTCCCATTGTGTTTCATTGCAAGAGTGACGAGATATTTGCTGGAAATGCAAACACTCTTTTCATGCCCCAAATTTCGCTAATTCTCAAAATTTTTGTAGAGACTTTCGGAGGAGCACTTACTATAACCAGCAGATAGGGCAAACCCTTTGCCGACTAGTGCAAGTTTTTGTAGCTCTACCGCTTGCCTTTCAGAATTTCTGCGATTTATTTTTTGAAGTGCCCAAATTTTACATTCAGCCTAATTCAACCTCTTAAAACATAAAATGTTAAACACTTCAGTCACCATTCGATGCAACTTCTTTTCCTTCTTCTAACACTTGTCTTTTTTCGCCGAGAAGGCGAAATTTGTGGAAAATAATCGCAGTATTTCTCAATTTTAGGAGTGCGCACTGACGTAACCTATGTTTCAAAATCTTCATAATTTGAAGCAAAAATTGCTCGTTTACTTTGTAATAGTCGCGGTAGTAATAGTCGTGTGCTGAAATCTCAGTATTTTGTAGGTTTTGCAGTAATTGGTGCAATAACAAGTTATGCAATTTTTCCAAGACACAAGACTTTTAGAAAATTATTTAGCAAAAATTTGGAAATGCAGCTCAGCAAGAAAAAATTGCATTGTAAAAAAGTTTGCTATATGGTGTTTATCAAAACTCCTCCGAAAGTCTCTTACAAAAACTTTGAAAGTTAATGAAAATTGGACACGGTAACGAATGGTTGCAATTTCCAGCAAATATCTCGTCATTCTTGCAATGAAACACAATGGTAGTTAAACAGCTGGAAAGAGGAAGAAATTCTGCATCGGATACATTTTGAAGTATTTGTTTAACTTCATTCTAACGTGTTTGCCGATGGATTGAAGAAAAAAACAAACAAAATTCAAACAAAATTCAATAACTTTTCAGAGACTAAACATAAATTCACAATCTTGTATGCTAAAAATATCAGAAGCTTCACGCTTAATGATGAATGTTTAAGCATGAGATTCCGTGAACTGGACATCAAGAACGAAGCTCTCGAACATGGGGCTTCAAATTTTGCGATTTTGAGTTTGGTGCCAGAAAATCGCGGAATGCCGCTAGCTAGCCGAAAAAAATCTGTAGAATCTACTTACACAACAAAAGTCCATATTTTACTTTGGAAGGCTTTGATCTTGCACGGTGAAGCAAAAACAAAAAATTCGTGAAATATGTCATTTTGCGGAAAAAATTTCCTCATGTCTGCAGTTTTCCGTCGAAAACACTTTTTTACGATCGAGAAAACGTCGCAAGGCTCTAAATAGGCACATTTCTAATTTCTGGTTGCAAACTGCGTTTCTGTGGAAAAATTAGAGCGATAAGGGGATTTGTCCTGCGAAATGAGAAATTTCACAAATTTTTTGTTTTCGCGTTTCCATGCGAGATCAAAGCCTGCTGAAATAACGTATGGACTTTTGCTGTGTAAGTAGATTCTACAAATTTTTTTCGGCTAGCTAGCAGCACTCTGCGATTTTCTGCCACCAAACTCAAAATCGCAAAAATTGAAGCTCCATATTTGAGAGCTTCTTTCTCGATGGCTAGCTCATGGAATGTTGTGCTTGAACATCCATCATGGAGCGTGAGACTTCTAATATTTTTAGCATACAAGATTGCGAATTTAGGTTTAGTTTTTGAAAAGTTATTGAATTTCGTTTGAATTACGCAAGGACTTTCGTGCCAACCTAATATAACAGATTGCCTCATAAGTTCCGTCCGTTTAAACTTTGAATCGCAATAAGTCATGAGCTTGTTGGTTATAGACAGTTGTAAGGTACCATTCGATAGAGCAAAGCAAGCTCTAAAAAGTGGTTTTTCTAATTCCGCACTAATTCAAATCCATCTCAAGTTTGAAGCCAAAAACCAAAAAGATCTAACTGCCCAAAAAAAGAAAAAAATCGTAACTTCTTCCAAAAAAATCCTAAAAAAGTCCTAATTTGCTTACAGATACGCTATTTATATCAGCAATCTATGTAGACTGTTCCTGTATTTTTTTCTTGGATAGAAATCAAGAATACGAAAATTTTCATATTCTTGCCAAAGTGATGCTGTGCTGTACCCACGTTGGTATTTGTGTACTACAGACCAATACAAGTACAGACACAAATTTTTAGCGCTCTGCAGGCATTAGTTCTCGAGAAACATTGAATTTAGCTTAGCACAGTCGGGTGTCCCATATTGAAACGATTATCTCTTGAGAGCTAAAGCATGTAGAGCGCAGAAAATTTATGTCTGTACTTGTGCTGGCCTGTAGTATACAACTGTTAGTGTGAGAACAGCGCAGCATCACTTTGGCAAGAACATGAAAATTTTCGTTTTCTCGAATTTTATTCAAGGAAAAAATACAGAAACAGTCTATATAAATGACTGATGTGGATAGCCTATCTGTAAGCAAATTAGGAATTTCCCATAATTTTTTTGGAAGGAGTTACGATTTTTTTTATTTTTCGGGCGGTTAGATCTTTTGATTTTTGACTTCATACTTGAGATGGATTTGAACTGATGCGAAAGTTCTGAGTAGTTGATAAAAATTCGATTTCTAGTACACCAGCTGCTGTAATCGTAAACCAGCTGCTGTAAAGAGCTGAAAATTCACACTCACGCTCTAAGGTCCTATAGTATACAACTGTCAGTGCTAGAACATCTCAGCATTGTTTTGGAAAAAACATAAAGACTTCGTTTTCTTAATTTCTGGCTGAGTGAAGAATACAGCAACTGCATAGAGAAATGTCTTACACGAAATGACAATGCAAGAGTATGTTAGAAACTTTGAAGGATTTTTCTGAACAAACTTCCATTCTTCTTGGTTTTTTGGGCGCTTGGATCTTTTTGGTTTTTGGCTTCAATCTTCGCTTCGATCAAAGCTGCTGCAAAACTTCAAACACTATCCTGTAGAGCTAGGTTTGCTCTATTTAATAATATATCGAATCCTATTTGGGGTATAATGGATTATTCCGGATTATTGCGGTTTGTACCTAATTTGATCAGGAATTATGCATCAACCTAATATACAGGGTGCGGCAAAACTCTGGGAGCCTAGTACGTTTTCATATAAAATGGGAAGGGAAGCACCTAGAAACGAGAAATTTGTCGCACGCATAATTCGATCCATTGCAGATACAGCTCAGTTCTTGAATTTCGAAATTGCCTCTTTTGGCTTCCACGCAGCCCTACAAAATCTTGGCAAGTCCACCTGTCACGGCACGTAGGTAGTCGTAATGAATTTGCCCCACGCCTTCACGATAACTGATTCTTTTACCTTCGCAAATGTGCAGCAGATAGAGCAAGCTTTTATCTACGACATACTTCCAAAAGAATTTTTTGCATTGCCTCGGAATAAAAATATTGGATTTTCATAGAAGCATGTGCACGTCGCATACCGGAATTTTGGCTACAATTGCGCGAATAAAAACTTAAAATTATCGTTTAAAAAGTATAAAAAGTGTTCCCATGGCCAAATTTCAATCGATTCTAATTTAGAAGGCGTAAGCAAAAATTACAGCCTTGGTCCCAGTGCCTGTTGAGCATTCTATAGCTTTTAAATTTGTTCTGAAGACGGATTTACACTCACAAATGTGGATTCTCAAACACTCATAACTTCTTTCTGAAAATTGTTCCAAAGTGAAAAAAGCAGATGTATTATCGTTCGAATGGCGTGATGCTATATGGAAAGACATTTGACAGACAAAGACAAAGACACAGACAAACATCATTCTTTCCACTCTTCCCACTAGGCAACATTCGCAAACTTTTATTTTCCGTTTATGCAAGAACAGCTCCTGGCAAAAGCAAAACTAGGATACAATGGCGCAAAGCCTCTTCTATGTTGTGTGCATCGAAGTTTTGTAAAATATTAACATCTCTAGCTACAGCAAAAATTGTAAATACTAAAAATTCTGCTTTTTCCGCTTTGCAAAAGTACTAGTTTGGTAATTTCCATTCTTACATAAACATGTGGCAGCCATTTCCATCCAAATAAAGTGTTTTTTGTAGGGGATGACCGCAGCATCATGTGGCATAAAATTGAAATCAAAACCACCAGTACCTTTGTAATTGCAATACTGCAAAGTTAGGCTCCCAGACTTTTGTCGCACCCTGTATAGATAAATTCTAATATGAAGTGAGGACTTGGTAACAAAACTTTCCCTCCTTTTTTGCTAGAGAGTCAAATCAGACTAATAAGGCGCACTCCAATTGAACCATTTTGCAAGGCTGATACGATCAAGGAGAAATCGCGTATTTGAAAGTGGCAGAGACCAATTTTTTTAAAGGTGGTTTTCGATTCGACGGCTCGCCGAGCCCCTGGTCATGGCTTATTCCAAAAGTTCTATCCGTTTTCGACGTTCAACTTCATTCACCAAATCTATCTTCAGAGGTGACTATTGCAACTGTGATGAGATGTGCTACATCCACAAATGCATAGTAATCCAATACATACCCAAAAATTATTGCTAAATAGCGAAAATAATTTTCTAGACAGCGAAGGCCGAGCATCTTATTAAAGGCCATAATTTCACTTCCACTGTGACTGCACAAGCACTGCTTGTTATGTAATTGGTAGCCGGCTAAACAAGTATCAAAGTTCAAATACGCTCAATTTTTTAAATGAATTTTTGTAAAGAAAGACACTTGTTTCGCTTTCTTTAAAGTCGAAAATGACACTTTTCCAAATTTTTCGATTTCATTGGCCATGATATGAGTATTTTCTTCGTTTTATAAATCAGTTCAAGCACTGCGCCGTACACAGGTTGCATGCATATAGGCACACACAAGTACAAATTTTCTGCTTTAACTTTGTAGAGACATCACTGCATTTGCTCTGATATACTACTTGCAGATGAACCGCTTCACATAAATTTGGGGTCTTTGCAAATGCCGGTGGTAATAAATCCTCATCGCAATGGCTATTATAGACAGAATTATGACAGTGTTGGATGGGAGCTTATAGCAGCGCAGTTTACACGAAATTCGGTAGGTTTGTTTTGGTATTTTTGACCAATTCTTAAATCACCACAAGCTTTGTTGTTTTTGTGTTGTAAAGGCATTATGACGTTGGTCAGCTAACAGCTTACAGGTGTTTGATCGGTATACGAGATACGTGCTTCTGAGCGATGCATTTTCTGCAGCTGCTATCGGTCAGCTGGAATACGAACTTGTATTTAAGCTCATTCGGTACGCTTACTCATCCAAAAAAGGTGAAAAGGTAAACCATTTTTAAATTGTGACTAAATCTATAGTTTCTGCTTTAATAACAGCACTGGTTAGTAAGACAACTTTCTTTTTACATAATAGTTGAAGGAAGAGTCTACTTAAGCACATCGAAACCAAGGGATTCTACCAATAAATTTACAAAACATAGGAAATTTCAGCTTATGCAACAATCCGCCGTGAATATGCTTCCTATTAGATAGTCTTTTCGCATGGGTAAACAATGAGAAATACAGACTCTTGAAGCAATATAATTCAAAGGATTTGCTGCTGCCCGCACGAGTTACTGTAACGTCCAATCTCTGAAATCTCTTGAAATCTCAAGAATTCATGAATCCCGTCACATTTGTCGAGTGTCTTGATTTGGTACATCCAAGCATTCGAGGTTCGAAACTCGGAATATTCTATTTTCGATTACAATTCGATAACTCGAAATATTGAAAACCGAAATTTTAAATGAATGGATGTTTTATTCGAATGTTTCATTCAAGTTCATATTCAAGTAAAAGTCGTATCCGAATCATTTAAATTTGGTGCAGAGTCAGTCACGTTGACTGAGTTGGATAGGTAGCAAGTTTAAATATGATTATTCTAAATATTTGATTGAATCACTCGAAAACATCAAAAACTCAACCCTTAATGTTTGATTATCGGTTTCGTTCATTCGAACTTTTTACAAAATTTTTAAATATTTCGGAAGTCGTTTGTTCAAATGTTTTGAGTTTCGAGATCGTTCGATATTCGTTTATTTGATACTTTCAATTTTCGAATATCACTAACTATTCATTAGAAATCTCGTATTCGATTTTCTTTCATTCGATGGAAATTTCCCAAAGTATACTGCATAGAATTTTTTTCTTCAGACAGGTGATCTACGAATTCTGAGTTTTTACGACGTTTAGACTACAGCTCTTAAGTGTCTTACGTGATTTTTCGCTAATTTCGCCCTTGCATTCAACTGCAGATCTTAGAACATTACAAAATGTCAAGCGTTTACAGCAAAATTCTCTCAAGGGCGTCAGTTTGAAAGCGACGTCCGCCTACGGTGTGGTGATATTCACTTGGTGCAATAGCAGAGCTCCTGATTGGATGTCGCTCAAGAGCCCATGCAAAAGTCAACCGAACCCCAAAAAATTGCTTTAATAAGTAGAAGCTAGGCTGGCTCCACTTCAACGCGGGTGGGTCAAATATAAAATGTGGATTTGGACATGATGTGTCTAAATACAAAGTTCAATAAATTTGTATTATGCCGAAAATCTGATAACTGTTAATGAGTGGTGTGACATTTATTTTGATTCCAATTTTAACATTTCCTTCAGTTCACCCACTTTGATGGTGGAACCTCCACTGAGGCTTCTATTTTTTTGGATCAACTTTCTCAAATCTGACTTGATCTTCTAAAGCGACGAGCAGTACTTGAGGGTTCCATTAATGTATCGTATAAAAATCTGGCCAAACTTATTCGGTAGATAACCTCTCTAAAAGCTGTTTAAAATGAATTCGAGCGCATCTTAAAAAGCGTTTAACTTCCTTTCATAGACAGATGTTTGATTTTTAAAAGCTTTGGACCCCGGAAAAAATTGATAAGTGGGCGACGAGCAACGAAACAATTTTTGGGGTGATCTATAAGAAACATGAGCGTCCAAACATCAAGAATATAAGTTCAGTATCTTTTAGTCGAAGTGGTCTTTCCATATAGCATCACGCCATTCGAACGATAATACATCTGCTTTTTTCACTTTGGAACAATTTTCAGAAAGAAGTTATGAGTGCTGAGAATCAGGATTTGTCGTGCAATAAGTGACACAAAATTAACGAAAAGCTTGCGGCTGTAAGTAGGTAATCATATTTGTATAAAGTTTATCTATTGCAAGAAGGAGCACAGCCCATGGAAGCATATGTATTTGTACAATTTTTCGCCCATTTTCTGGCACTTAAGGCTTGATAGATTTACAAAATCAAAACTGAGCGCTTTTGTAAAAGAGGTGTTCCGCAGAAAAGGGAGGATTTGGGCTCTCTACAAAGTGATATAGGTGTCATGTGGAAAGGCACTTCAACCAAGGTTTCCCTTGTGTGCAATACAACTTTTTCACCGTACCACTGATCAAATATAGTATCTGCAAATACTGCATAGATGGAAAGATTAGCCTTCAGTACGTTGGCCATGCATAAAAATGCTACTTCCACCAATGTTGTTCTATTCTTATGTTACAGCATTGGCTACCATGGCAAGCAATTGTAGATGGGATGTACAACATATATGCAATGTATGTTAGGACAGACGAAAACGCTTCCTATGTCTTGGTTAGTGTGCGATAATCGTCTTCATTGCAAGTTACAATACGAGAATAGAAATATATGCTATTTTCAAATGCTTTTGTGATAAATAGGTTTGTTAGGTGTTTTTTATGCTGTCCAATCACGACCTTACGCTCCAAAGTCCCTTCGCTTTCCCAACGGTTTCGGCCGCTGAAATTGTACCATAAATGCTTATAAGATGTGATCTACAGTTTGCATGGCTCTGCGATGATCAACAGCTGCTCGTTTTTAATGTTCACTGTTGGACTCTTCGCAGAAATCCAGAATGCTTCGAGTGCGTTCCTAGCCGAGGTTTCCTTTTCATTTGCCAAGATTTGACGTTAAGAATTAAAGATATAGGATTCGGCGTCTTACCCTTTGCGGGTATGCGCCGAATGCACTCAACTTTACAGTCGAAGAGGGCGTGTGGCCTTTTACGTGATTCGCGGGGCCCAGCCGATTACCAAGTCAGTGCTTTTATCTCCCAGATTACTCTGGTACCGAATTACCGGCCCAGGAGGGTAGAGTGCCTGGTTGGCCTGGTTGGCCAGGGAGGAGAAAATCGTTCCAGTATTCTATTCGTTCGTAGGCTTGTTATGTGTTGAAAACAAAGATCTATGCCTTTTATCTGCCAGATGTTCTTTTTATACGATTAGTGAGGAATGTTCTTTTTATACGATTAGTGAGGATTTCTTCATTTTGCCCTATTTAGATAGCATAGTAGCTAAGACATTCTAATTGCAATTTTTGCGACAGGAATGATGAACGAAGGTCGCAAACTAGCAGAAATAGAAATGATGCTTGATGGTTTCGCTTCTCAAGTAACGCTTTGAGCTTCGCCCCTCTGAAAAACACGAAAAGGCATCGAAACGTAAGGCCGTGTTTGGAAAGAATAACTTACACCTAATAAAACTATTCGGTACAGAAGCATCTAAATATTGACTATTATACAGGTTTAGTGGAACTATAGGAATTATAAAACGAAATTTATATTGCATACACATCTTCTTTAGTCATACCTAAACAGAGTGTGGCGACCGATTGCTTATGAAATTCGTGAGAAATTTCTTGCTGAAGAGACAGAATTTGCTAAATATATAAGAAAGCAGAACGAATCTTCGAAGGAGCGCATCACTGGAAGATTGGATTGGAAATCAGTGAGATGGGAATCCAATGCTGCTTTGTAGGTTAAAATTGTACCAATTATAACATCATAATTCTTGTTAGCTAGTCGTTAATGCGAAGATGACCTTGAATGAACAGTTTGAACTGATCAAAAACTGCCGCACGACAGAAACCTATTACATCGCATAATTGAACGAATATTTACGGTAAAATAAAGTCTGGAGTGAAAAAGTTATAAAATGCATTGAAACTGTAGGACAATGTTTTTTCTTTCTACAATCGAAAGATATCGACATCAACTTTTAAGGCAAGCTAAAATTTTAAGTAGGCAGCTTCGCTGCCAAATCATACCTTCTATATACAGAGCTATGTACTCTGGTAATCTTCACTTTGAGCGTCCTGATATAACACAACCTTTACCTGGAGAAAAGTACAGAAGTCTCCGGGGTGAAGCCCCAGATATTAATGACATAACTAACGACATAATCATGTAGGGATAAATGTGAATGAGGGGAATATAGTAGTGACATCCAAAAAAAGCTCAAATCAAAAATTTAATTAGAAACTAGGACAAAACTCCTCAAGTAGCCTTTTCCGAGACTGCGATTAAGCGTTGAAAGTTCATGAAGGCCGCTCGAGTTTGATAAAGACGAGAAACTGCGCTCAAATTTTGCGCAGAGGATCGCCACATAAATGCTGGTCTATGTCTTTATGGAGTGATTTTCAAGACTCGCGACGTTATCAGTGCTCCTGGCCGTATAATGAGGATCACAACGATATAGAATGTTATAGGGTTTGATTATGACCCCGCAGAGATCTATAACCAGAGCCAAATGCCCTGTCGGCTCTGGTCTGTCTCCGCTGCTCGTCTGCGCCTCCGTGTGCGCTGCGCACTACCTCGCCACCTCAAACGCGGGGCGCGGGGCATTTGACTCTGTTACCCTTTTCTTCGTTGTTCCGAGCCCAATTACGACATTCTATATATCATATCAAAGCTCTTGATCTCTATTTTCACGCTAACAATGTCGCAAGACTTTCTTCTATGATTCAAACGAAAAATCTGAAAAAACGGCGTTTTCGAAAACCTCTTGTTTTTTCCTCACTCTAACTCTTTTTAGTCGGTTTTTTTGTGTATTGGATAGGTCTTGTTCCTGTCTATGATGTAGACAATGTCGTCGAGCTTATTTCTTTGCTTATGTCGGTTTTTTGCGAAAATTACTGAAAAGTGCGCTTTTCTTCACCTTGTTCTACTTCTGTGCTTTCCCAACAGACTTTCTCCAGCTTGGACAGTACTTGCTCAGAATGATTAGCGGAAAAATTCAGACAACGTCGCAGGATACGAAACGACTATGCGGGGGTGAAAATTTAAAGGACCATCAAAAATTAGATTGGCATCGATGTGCAAAATATTTTCTGACGTGTTTAACATGTTCAATTCAGTTGTTAACATGTTTTCCTTCTTCCACAGCTAAACAGCGCTTTTTTGACTGGAAAAGATTTTTATTCTTGTTGTAAGTCCTCTTGTCTTTAAAGCTTAGCATGTTCTTGCAGGTGAATAATTTTAGTTGTTATATTATGCCGTACAGGTTGTTATAGATGATACCAGTGCTTCACCTCTGCTTCGCAGAGGTTCGCACTGGCATCGTGAACCGTGGTAAACTCACTTTCTGAGAGCTTATCTCTCAAATCATTGTTCGGTTTATTGCAACGTGAGCTGTAGTTAAAAATGAACCATACTCGCTATCTTAACCTCACATGATGTTTAGTATCGTAAATCATTCCTCACTGTAATTTCGTAACGGACAAACTCCACACAACTTCAGATTAAGCCGCTTATTATAAGTCATGATACTTTATTGCCCGACGTTTAGGCAAGACGCCGTTTTCAAAGGGTGAAAAGGCGTCAATCACATTGATACACCATCTCTGCCGCCAAATATCTCCACTATTAATACTTTGTTCTTGTTGCCACCCAATCTATCCGGCAATCCTGTAGAGGAAACTGTGCCTAAAAAACCACCAAGTTAAGCTTTCAAACTTGATGATGTGCCAACCTCTGCTTTATATGAATTTTTCGCGGTTCCTGGTTCAATTCATATCTTTAAATATCCATTTATAATTTGAAACAATCTTCACTTCTTGTAAGGGGCAGGAACTCCAATAACTATCACTTTCTAAGTTCTGTCTCTTGACTATCGAAGGTACGTGTCAAGCACAGTTAGTTCAGATGTAATGAGCGTTTTTGTTGCTAAACTTGTCTAAGATGGGGTTTTTGCTTGTCGGCGATTGCCCTCGTAAATGAACTTCTCCATCGTAAAGCATTTGGTGATATTATTGGAAAGAAAACATGAAAATCTTGTAGTTTGAGACCTTTTTTGTGATATTTTCAGCTGTTCACACCTTTTTTTAAGCAACCAGAATCTTTCTGATTCTTCTGTCAAGATGAAAGCATAAGAGAAGAAAATACTCCTAATTCCTACGTGCTGATGGGTAAAAATGACAGTGAAAGATGCGCGAGTATCGACACCCATTAGCTATCTTTCCTCATGCTTGTCACTTAGTTGGCAGCTAAGGCTGCGTTCATACTGATCCGGAATCGGGAACAATTCTAGCACAGCGCTAACTTCGAGCGCTATGCTTTAACTGTTCCCGAACTTCCGGATCAGTATGAACGCAGCCTAAGGATCATCGGATGTCCCCTTTTCAGCTGGCCTGGCGGCTGAAAGAGGACTTCCGTGACCTAATTAAGTATGAATGATGATCAGAGAGCACGCTCGCGAAAGAAGCAGGCGCATGCGGCCTTAATTAGGTCAAAAGCCCCGCCTTCCAGCAGCCAAGCCAGTTGAATCAAAGATTAGATTGCGCGAGATTTGAATCTCGAGGGCTTCAGGTACAAAGCCTTTTTTAAAGCTGTACTTCCTTTTCTAGCCTGTATGTTAATTTACGCATTAGTCCCTGGCAAGGGAAGGATACTAACTGAGATTCCCTTTTGAGATGTGAAACATGCATTTGGATTCAGCTTTAAACGCTGTTTCCAGCATGCTGCTCCTAGCTGCTTAACGCTGTTCTGAAGCGAGTTATGGGTTTGCTGTTGTGAGTAAATAACATGCTTCTAAGTATCGTAATACGGATTGTAGATAGAATCTGCTCGAAAAAAATGCTAGAATGTTGAACTATAACTATGTTATTTACGCATGAGTCCCTGAGTTATTTCCCCGAGTTGCTCTCCTACTAATCCTCCCCTTCCCCCGCCACTCGGCACCATTTTTCGTCCCTCTTAGGGCGAAAACTGACTTTTCGCATTATTCTAATCGCGATATCAAGTTGAGCTGGAGAAAATGAATCTTCAAAAAAAGCGTCAAAAATCAAAACAGTGAAAGAAGTATTAGGTTGACACATAAGTAATGCAACTTTTTATATAACTTTTGTCTATTTGAACGTAGCGCATTCATTTTTTGGCAATATAAGGAAGATGATGTAAGCTTCTAATGCACACATTTTTGCCAAGTTTTACCATCTTATGTGAGGATTACGGTAGGTTTACGGTACTATGGGAAAAATTCTAGAATGCATTAAATTTTTCTGAAACTTGTCCTATAGAACTTATTCGACACCAGTATGATCGTCCGGCTACGCCGGACTCTCATACTTTTTATGGGTAACAAAGTATTGATTTCTACAAATTTTCTTTTGCCATTGCATAAACAGCTCTTCTTTCAAACGTTACTCGGAGCACGTGCACAACACTCAACAAATGCACACAAAACCAATAATCGTTTATTTCAAAGTACACTGACATCAGTATTGCGTTGAACTTTGAAAACAACTGGAATATATCAATTGTCTGCAAATGACCTCGCAGAATTTGCATTGCGGTGTATACGTTCAAATTTCACGTTTTTAGATCTGTCTTGGGTTACTAAAAATTGCAAAAGAAAACTTTCTCATGCTTCCTTTCGTATCTTACATTATGTTCATACCGCAATGTAAATTCTCCACATCTAAATAAAAATAGTTTTTACTCCAGCGTTCCACCAAAGCCCTCATATGCAATTCATGCTGGTCTCACCGGCAAAAATTGGCAATTGCCACCTCGAGTATAGAGATTAGCTACAATGCAGATTATCAAAGAAGACCACTTACACCTGAACGGCACATTCTACTAAGGGAAAAGATTTTTAATTCTCTTTTCATTTATGCGACGGCATCCGAGAGGATAGACTAAGCCTTCCCCTCAGTAAGCAGCTGGAGACTGCCGCCTACCGTCTCTACAATAACTGTAGCTTTTCTTAGGACTTTGCAAAAAGAATTTGACTTACAATTAACCAAAATTTTCGTGCGGGAAAAGGCAAAGAGATTTGCGCTTCTCATCTACTGAACGGCATTTGAGAGGATGGCAGTCACAAAGCCTTCCCCTCAGTTTGCAGCTGGAAAGTGCTGCCTACCGTCACTACAATAACTGTAACTTTCCTCAGAACTTTGCAAAAAGAATTTGACTTACAATTTACCATCGAATCTTCATGTAGGAGAAGGCATAAAGGTTTGCGCTTCTCCTCTACTGAACGGCATTTGAGGGGATGGCAGTCATAAAGCATTCCCCCTCAGTTGGCAGCTGGAAACTGCTGCCTACCGTCTCTACAATAACTGTGACCTTCCTCAGGACTTTGAAAAAGAATTTGACTTACAATTAACCATCAAATCTTCATGTAGGAGAAGGCATAAAGGTTTGCGCTTTTCCTCTACTGAACGGCATTTGAGGGGATGGCAGTCATAAAGCATTCCCCTCAGTTGGCAGCTGGAAACTGCTGCCTACCGTCTCTACAATAACTGTGACTTCCCTCAGGACTTTGAAAAAGAATTTGACTTACAATTTACCATTAAATCTTCATTTGGGAGAAGGCATAGAGGTTCGCGCTTCTCCTCTACTGGACGGCACTTGAGGGGATGGCAGTCATAAAGCCTTCCCCTCAGTTGGCAGCTGGAAACTGCTGCCTACCGTCTCTACAATAACTGTGACTTTCCTCAGGAATTTGAAAAAGAATTTTACTTACAATTTACCACT